CACCTCTACCTCTCCCGTGGCCAGGGCTGCCTGGGCCCACGGAGGCCTCACGTGGCCTCGCCTGGTCCCCTGGCCGCAGTGCTGTGGCAGCCCCACTTCCTGGAGCCCCGATTGGGCAGGCTGTGGCCTTAATGGGCCTGATGATCAGATAGCTGCTTGCCTAATGGCAGAGATAACATGTAAATACGCCGGGAGGCCCTGCTAAAACGTTTTAACTGGGTCTTTGTCTTCCCCAGGGCAGATAAGATGGCAGCCAACCAGGACTGAGAGGCCGAGGAGGCCTGCGTCCCTTTATCAGCCCCCAGGAGGGGACGAGCGGACTGGGGGCAGCAGGAGCAGCTCTGCCGTCTCAGCTTCGTGGCTGCCAGCCCACCCAGGATGCCTGGGTCCCGGCCCAGGGCTCTGACCACTGGGCCTCCCTCCTCCCCTGCCCCTGCAGGGCTTGGCACCAAGAGGGTGACCAGTGTGAGCTGGGTCCCAGCATCCCATTCACATGGGCCAGCCAGCACCACACGGCCCTACGGGGTCATCCCCCTGTACAGACGAGGACATTGAGGCCCCTAGAGGCTATGCGGCTAGCAGCAGGGCACTGGGGTCCAAAGCCCTAGGCCTGGCTCCAGGGGCACCCTGTGTGTGACAGTGGTGGCCCCTCATGTCCTGGCTGCACCTGTGTCTCTGGCCCCTACCTGGTCAGGCCTCAGGGGTGGACATGGGAGAGAAAAGACTCCCCAGAGGGGAGCCCCCAGTGTGTGCTCATCCGTCCCTCTGTCTGTCCAGTCTCTGGTGGGTCCTGAGTGCCACCCCTCAGTCAGGGCTGGGGCCACAGGGAAGCATGTGGAATCCCATCCGGACCGTCAGAAACACTCGAAGCTTCGTGGGTGGGGCCCTGCGTGCAGGCCTCTGTTCTGGCGGGGCAGGGCGGGGTGGGGGGCAGAGGACCCTTGTCTGAGAAGCCCCTGAGGGCACATCTGGACCCATGAGTGCTGTGACTTCCTTTCAGAGAGGGAAGGGGTCGCATGCCTTCCCCTCAGGTTCCAGAACATTCCTGACCAGAGTCCCTGGGTCTGCTGGGCACGGAGCCCCCACTGGGCGCCCCTGCTGTTCCTGAGACACTGCCGTGCACCTGGAGCTGGTGCCCACCTTTCCAGGGGTAGCAGGAGCTTGGGCCTGCAGTGTCCACACCTGCCACATGTCACACCTCAAGGGTGTTGAGGTCCCTGTCCTGGTGGCCCTGGGCTCTCGCTTGCCCCCTGCCCTCATGGGGAAGGGGGAGGGCAGAACTGGTGCCCACCCTACCCGGTCCACGCTGCACCCACAGGCAAACGGTCCTGCTCCCTAATCGGAGCTCCAGGGCCAGCCGGCCGAGCCTCCCAGATAAGAGCGTGGCTGGCATTTCCCGTGGCGGCCGCCCCTTCTGGGTATCACGCACCGCCAGAGAGGGCTGGCTCCGATAAAGGTGGCCGTTCCGCTCGCCCGGGGGCAGAACCCACCACTCAGGGATGGCCGGGGGCTGGGCGAGGGGCCTCCAGGGAGTCCAGGGATCAGAGGCGTGTGGGGCTGGGGACCAGGGTGACGGTCACCACGACAACCCATCTCCCTGGACCAGGGTTCAGGTTGCGTCTCCAAGGGGCTGTGCATGGGAAAGGTGCCTCTTGGGGGTGGATGCAGGGCCACGAAGGTGCCTGGATTGGTCAGGGGAGCATGGCTGATCTTAGCCCCAGCTCACCCCAGGTGCCCTTGTGCAGCTTACAACCTGTGCAACTGAACATGGAGGCCGTGGTGGTTCGCAACACTCATCTGCTCACGTAACCTATTTCCAGCCCCCTGTTCCTGCAGAGACCCTCTCCCAACCAGAAACAAAATCGCATTGGAAAGTGGGGGTGGGTGAGGCTCCTACTCCTGGCAGATGGGGTGCCTCCTGAGGACTTGACTCAAGGCTGAGAATGGATAGAAATGTCCGTGAGTGAGGGTGAGAGGTCTGGGACTGGGGGCCAGGGGATGCTGAGCTGGGTGGGAATGGGCGGGAAGACACAGGCAGATGTTTTTTAAAATGGTCTGTAAAATGGCTGGGGGATCCAGACAGTGGCAGCCATGGAGATGGCCAGCACCCAACCCCACCACCAGGAAGCCCAGGGCCCAGCGAGGCTGAGGAGTGCCCAAGCCACACTGGGAGCTCTGGCTGGAGGTGGGACCAGAACCCATGGTGAGCTCTGTGCTTGTCCCACCACAAAACCCTGTGGGGAACCCGGGGCAGCAACAGGCAAGCCACAGTCTTGGCCTTGGGGCTCCCAGAAAACACAGGCAGTGGCCGGACACCCCCATGGCACCAACAGCTCTGAGGGCAGGCCAGTCAGGGTGGGCTTCCAGGGGGAGGTGTCCTTCCCTGCCAGCCTCCTGTGACCGGTCTCTCTGCTTCCTCTTCCCCAGCTCCAGAGCAACTGGGGTGAGCCCAGCAGAGATGCCAGCTCCAGCCAGGTCGTCTCTGCAGATGAAGAATGGGGACACCAGCTGCGGCTCCCAAATCCCCACGAACCCAACATGAGTGCCCGCCCCACGGACCCAACATGAGTGCCTGCCCCACGGACTGAGCCTCAGCCGGGCCCAGCAGGACTTGCGGGGATTCTTCCCAGCTGCTCTGAAGTTACTCCTCCCAACACACGTGGGGGAGACAGATCCAAGAGGTTCTGTCTCTGGCCCAAGGGTAGGCAGCGGGTGGGTGGGTTAGAACTAGAGCCCCAGGGGTCTTCTGAGCTGGGGTGGGAGGGAGCGGCTGGTGGCCCCGTGGCTGACTCTTCCAGCTGTGGCCTCAGTTTCCCCATCTCTAGACGGGTCTCCTGAGGAGGGGGCAGGCCCGAAGCCGCATAGGTGAGCCCCGCAGGGGGCATGGGGCCGCCACTATAGGCACAGCACTGGGACAAGGATTAATTTATTCAGGCAAACAGGACTGCACACGCCATCTCCAGAACAAACACGCCGTGCTGGGATTCAATTTCACCCCCAAGCATCTGCGAGGAACCAAATGAGAAGTTCCAGCCATTGCATATTTATATGATTGAAACGTCCACATGGGTCTTAAAACCCTCCGGTGACACTCACGGGGATGGAAGCAGTGGGGGGGCTGAGGACCAGGCAGAGCTCAGCGCTGCCGGCTGGGCCAACCCCACAGAGTGGGGAGCCTGGCTGAGGGGAGCCTGGTGGGTCTGGCCAGGGTCCAGGGCCTTTTGGGGGTGCCTGGGGAGGGAGAGCTGGGGTCTGGAATCCACAGGCCTGGGGCCAATCCTGCCTCTGCCCAGCTCGCCAGTGGTTGTGTGCGCTCTGAGTCTCGGTTTACCCATACGGAGAAGGGGGTGCCCCCATGATGTTCCCCTGGGCTCATGCCATGAGGGTAGGGGTGTGTCTGCCGGTGCAGCCAGCACTGTTCTCTCTCCCAGCTGCCCGGATGGGCTGAGAAGCTGCACCAGGTGGGCATCCTAAGGCCTGGGGCCCAGCCCAGGGCTGCCCCCTGGGATTTGACCTCCACCCTTGAGCTCTGGCTCTGCCCCAGAGGCCCTAGAGGTCCCTGTGGCCTCCCTCAACAACGTGGCCAACATGCCCAGCACAGGCACCTCGGCCCCCTCCTGACGCACACGTGGCAGCAAGCCTGTGGAGGAGCGTCTACTCCATCCCACAGGCCCAGAGACTCCAGCAACCAGCTGGGGGTCACACAGCAGGGAAGGCAGTTGCCCCGGAGACCAGACCCCGAAGCTGCTCTCTGGCAGAGGATCCAGGGCTCCACCCAGGACCATCTGCCTCCTGAACCGACGCTGCTCAGCCACCCGCCTCCCCAGGCCTGTTTCCCCACCTGAACCATGGCCCTGGCAGGCTGGCTCGCAGCTCTGACTTGAGGAGGCAGGTGAAGGTGTCACCCTGTGTGTCTGTGGACGTCTGGGAACCGGGGCCCCTCCTGCACACAGCTGGCCTTCCCGCCTTCCAGGGGCCAGCTTCTGTTTGTGCCTAATGGCTGGTAGCCTCTGGAGCGCAAA